CCCAAGGCAGAGCGGGACAAGTGAGTTCCGTTAGCGGTCGGTGAACGTTCATCAACGGGTGTCAAGGAGGCACAGGAGAACACACGCAAGTCGATCGGTCGGATGAACGAACAATTTGCCAACTACATATTCTGTCCCACAATTATAAGGCTAAGGGCCTCCTGTCTAAACTTTCGACGATTTTGGGTATACTGATCCACGTTTTTGCATGAGAGTAAAAAGTCGAAAAAAAAATTGGCTGCCACCGCAGGCAAGAAATGTGACGAAAATACGACAAGTGACAGTCCCAAATCACTTTTTTTAACATCGGCGAATTTCGGCCATAATCTGTTTTTTACGAAAGTCTAGATGAAGAAAAAATTATGGATTTGGGGGGGGCAAAGCAAGACAGATAGACACAACGGACGAGGAAACCAACATATTGTGGCGGATCCGCAAAAAACGGCAACGTGCATATCAGGCGAAATCCGGTGTTAGACTTTTCAACGACAAAGATTCACAGGAACAGAGACCATCCACTCCCCATTTTTTTGTCAGAGGCATACCGCCAGTAAAAACGTGCCACAAAGAACAACGAATGAGCTGGGCTGAGACAGACATCCCTGGGATAAATCAGTGACACAGGGTCGCCTTTTCCAGTGAAAACAGAATTAACTTGAATGGTCCAGGTAACTGGAACAGTTACTGCGTTTGAATCTGTTACGAGGTGCTAATAGTTGTGGCTTGTAGGGCTGGCGACAGGTAAGATAACTCGGTCTTTCTTATGAGTAAGAGCCAGGCCGCAATGTCTCCTTTTTAATGTGCTGTTTATGCCATTTTTACACCTGTGAAGTTCGAGCTGCCGTCATTAAAACCTGGCACATATTTTTTTGGGTACCAGGCCGGATGTAGCATGCGTTAATTGCCTGTTTAGCTCTGTCAGTCGCTGCGTCCGAAGCCATCCCCGGTCGCCTTGACATTGTACTGGCAGTAGAGCATACTTAGTGACAGTGGGGTGGGACAGATGTTGCACAAGGCTGCCCCATTTTTAAGTAACTCATACGCAAATCACTGTCCAGCACCCACCCCCTGGGGTACACGGTAGAGGTCGTTCTTTACGACGATCGAACTGTACGGACAGCTATTTTAGCATCCGATGTTATTTTTTTCAAAACCATATTCACACAAAAAGTTGCCACTACTTTTTTGCTCTCTCTCTCTCGTGCAAAAAATGGGATTGGTCTGCGCAAATGGATCCCAATCTTATTAAAAAAGCAAGCCAACTTCTAATTGCAGAATAAAATGTGTGTTACAGGGACGGAATTACACGTCATCTCACGATCTCTGTGTTTTGCATATTCATCTGTATTAAACCAAAAAATAAAATAATGCAAAAGAGAAACAAAGATTATTGTTTCGGGTGTGGATATACGCCCAAAAGGAGGATTTTCATGCTATAATTCAGACTAAATGAGCTGGATCGTTTCAGGAAGCATTTTTTGAACACATCACGAGAAATATAGGGTGAAATCTACCGAGAAAGATAACAGTAAAGAATGATTTCGAAGCAACAGATGTACAGCGTTGGCAGAATGCGATTACAATGCGGCCGCAAACCTATGTATTAGAAGGTCATTCTTGGATTAGAGGTCGTCTCAATAGTGCGTGATCATAGACGGCATGCTTGGCGAGTCACATCTGAGTTAGTAATTACAGTGCCTTCCTCGCGAGCATTAGCAATTGACGAGCTAACTAAGTCGACTTAAGTTGGAATATCAGACCGGTGAAGGTCTTTTCTTCCGTCATTGCTGGATTACTGTTGTCTAATTGTCAAAAAAAATTGTGAAGGTTACGCGAATATGCTATTAGGAATCACTGAAAACCAAGCTCAGGAGCACTCAAAATTCCTGCAATAAGATTTTACCCGTCTCCGTAACTGAAATGACTTCCAGCAGTCGACCTGTTATCCACAGTACTGACGCCACATATCCATACGCACCTTACAACCGACTACATTAAAAAAAGTGGCCACAATCTGCTCAAGATGAGTCAAGGTAGCGAATTAACAGTTACGCATTTATCCTGGCGGCTAAGGTAGGTGACACAATGTTTTCAAATGAAAACGCAATTGCAAGTGATTCCTCACAAAGTAAATTGACATAAACCGTTGCTTAGAAAAAGTAATTATCTGCAGATCTCTGTGAAAGCGCAAGATATTGGTTAGATCATGGAATCAAAAATACACTGTTTCTGAGGTGACTGGATTACCTGGATCTCTTTGGAATGCAAATCCATCGTTATCACATGGTCAACTCCGGTCGAACAAATCATCTTTGCAATAAGTTTGCAGGTAATGGAGCCACGCTTGCGCATTTTGTTTTGTTTGCAGTACGGCAAGTACGGCATAACCACAACAATGCGCCGAGCACAGGCGGCTCTACAGGCAAAAGCCATGACCAACAACTCCATAATATCGTTGTTAACATCCATTGTACCAGTTTGAATGAGGTAGGCATCGCGTCCTAAGGGACAATAAAGGTGACCAGTTGATAAAGGAACTAACCTCGAACCGTCTCATAAATTTCAACTTTCGTCTCCTTGTTGGAATGAGCGGAAACTAAGGCTTTACCGGGTTCGATGCTCAGGTGATTGCAAACTCGCTTAACGATATCCGGGTGAGAATTACCAGCAAGGATGATAATGCCTTTTGATTCTAGGGATGGACTAGAAGATATGACCGGAGAGAATCTGTTGTGGCCTCGGAATGACATGATGGTTTGTTATGTTTCAAATCGAAGTAATAAAGGGGGACTTCTCAGAAACGGTCGTCTGAAAAATAAGTGAGGCGATGAGTCTTCGCGAGGAGTAGATTTACCTGCATAAAAATATTAAGCAGGTAATCTTGGAGAGATTCTTGAGGACAAGGATATGAAAAAAAAACATACTGAAAACAAATCAACAGCAGTACGTTTTGTATTACCCATTATGGTAGAAGAGGGTCTGTTTATGTCTCAGAACTAGCTGATATTATAGGTAACCATAAAATATTTGTTTTGAAATACTAGAAGAGTGGTTGACGGAGAGATATCAAATAATTCGAGTGGAATCCAGACAAACGGCTAGTTGACAGAGATTATGCGGAATCCCACAGGACAGGAACGGAAAAAGATGCAAAAGACAAAAAATTTGAAACATTCGCGCATGCGGTCAGTAGGCAGAGTAGTCCACGGTGAAGACAGGAAGTCGATTCATCGAAACCCATGAAGTTCAATGATAAAGGAGACTAGAGCAGGACCGCTAATAGAAAGGGCAGCTTTGATAACAAGTAAACACTCGTAGTGGCCACAATGGCAACGAAAATGCAAGGTTAAGCTGTGTCTTCTGAACAATTGCAGTCACAATAACAGCAATAAAAATCAGACCATTATTCATAATGTACAGAAGGAACGAAGGTGAGACGCAAAGGAACACGGAACGGTACTGCTGAGAGTATCTGACATCGTCCATAATATAACTTCACATTCCAGCCCCGGATTAGTCTGAGGATCTACAAAAGCATCGCAACAAGGGCACAGACAGGACGCTACAGAATACTGTTAACAATACTAACGTATGTCATACAAGCTCTCGCACTCCTGAAACATACTTTAGGCTTAAAACACTTTGGTAGGAAACACCCGCGTCTGTAGGCCAAAAAAACGGGCAGCGTGCACGTTGAGCTCATCACAATGGCCTGAATAATCGTTCATGTCCCTGTGTCACTGACGTCACTGTTTGTCTCGTTGAGGAACCTTAGATCTGTTGGGTCGCGTACGACGAGAAGCTGTCACGGTGTGTGCGTGGATTGGCTTATAATGAGGGCTCTCACAGCACTAATCTCAGCAGCCACAAAAAGGCAGACATACAAACAATAGAATGACACTTTTAATAAGGCATCATCGCTCGGACCGATTGACATCCTAAATATTTTACTGGACCAATTGATAACTCTATTCTGAGCCCAGTTGTCACCCGTAGCTCCGAACAACAAATTAATTCATTCGAACTGCAGAAGGCAGGTAGAAAGCTACCTAATACAGTCATCATTGTAGTAGTCCGACTGGAACATGTGATCCTGCCACACACAACCTAATGAAGATAGCAATAATATTTGCTCGATGTCACTTATTATCCGTGCAACTTTGTGCCATGACATGTATACGTTCTTAGGCAGTTGAGGCAAAGCTACCTGCGACAAAAATTATAGAATACTGATCTATTAGAATCAGTGGAATGTCTTCGAAAAACGTATGCGCAACTTTGTAAGTCAGGCAGGTAGAAGTATATCATTGAGTTTGACGTGGTGGACCGTTTAGGCATATAGCTACCAATTTGTGCTGCAACAACAGTTATATACCTTCTTGACAGATATTTATGTTCAGAATAGATCGAAGCGGGTCCGAAGGCGGAAATACTGAAGAATAATGCCGTGTAAGGCCGAAATATAAAGAAGGCAAAGCAAAGTCACTTAACCAATGTAACGAAGTTCATGCTAAACTTTACCACTTGTGGGCAAATATGCAGCACTGTAAACAGAATTCAAGTTGTAAACTACCTACAC